GAAAAAGGTGTTTAAAAAGAAATCCAAGTACGCAGGTCAGGATAGATGTTAAACATGAACTTCAAATTTGGTTCTTGAGCTTCCTGACAGTCAAATCAAAAAGAGGCAAAACTTTCACTATCAGAAAGTGGTTTCCAAAAGTTTTTTAGAATCACATTCTAAAGTATCTTACATGGGACTTTATATAAAGGGTATTCTATGACATGGAGAACAATGTCCCTGACAATTATCGTTGAACAAATATGGTTAAAATGTTTTATATGGTTACTCTGAGTAGCTTGTTTAGGTGAAGGTACAAATTAAAATTCTACCCAGTGAAAGTGATATTGCTAGGGGGTGCTTTTGCAATACACATTTTTATACTGAAGGATTCTTAGACATGGATTAGTTTTCCCAATTGGGAGAGCAATTCTTATTTAATGGCTAGGAGACTCCAGTACAGACATCAAAAGTAAATTAACATGGTTAACACAATTTCATCATTTAGGGGCAGTCCCAAAATTTGAACCTCGGGATTCAGCAGGGAAGTTTAGTATCTCACAACTTCAACAGCATTGACTGTAACCCAAGGCTTCATAAGGATTTACTAGAAATTCTACCCTTCCCAAATGATGCCCTCTACCTACAGGGAATTAGTCTTCTGCATGTTCATGTATAGCACATTTTGAAGATAAAGAACTGTAAAGAGTTTCAGTGTTAAAAAAACAGAAATACCTAATTTTCAGCATTTTGTGAAAAAATTCTATAAATTACCCAAAGCAGCAGTATGTAAGCAAACACAATGAATGTTTCTAAATGTATGCAAGAAGCCATGGGCAGCAAGGAATAATCAACGAGAGATGCAGCTGCTGTTCAATCGAAGTATTTCTCCTGCAATCTGCTTTGGGAATAATGAAGGTGGAAAATATCTAGAGAGAGCATCTAGTCTGCATATACACTTCTGCCCTATTTTCAAAGATCTCTATATAGATATCTACTCCAGTTTGTTCTCATCGTAAATCTTAGCACCAACAGTTTCTGTACCTTGTTACATACTTGGTAATTATTAAGCAACTAGTGTTCTTTCATTAACAAGATAATCACAATTACCCTACCTTTCTCCAAACACCTTACCTACTCATCTTTAGACCTCTTACTGGGGCATCCATTATTACCCTGAAAACATACTACAACTGTTTGGTACTTTATTTATTTATTTATTTTTAAAAAGATTTTATTTATTTATTTGAGAGAGAGAGAATGAGAGACAGAGAGCATGAGAGGGAGGAGAGTCAGAGGGAGAAGCAAGGGAGCCCAATGCGGGACTCGATCCCAGGACTCCAGGATCATTACCTGAGCAGAAGGCAGTCGCTTAACCAACTGAGCCACCCAGGCGCCCCTGTTTCGTTCTTTAATACAAACCACAACTTCCCAGGATTTAGGTTATTTCATGATTTGTTCAAACTACAAATTAAAATAAAACTAACAGTTTTATTTATAAGGAGCAATGCTCTATCTTGGAATCAATTATTCAAAACAATATTCTTAGGTACTGAGGTAATTGATCACATAGTTTACCTTCTAGCAGGAAAAACAGACAACAAACTGGTAAACAAGTTGTCAGATTGGAGTGCTATGAAAAAAAAATTTAAGTGATAAGGGGCAGAGAGGGTTTTTGTGAGGAGGTAGCATGTGCCCTGCAAAGATGAGAATAATGTTCCAAGCAATTTTTGGCTGAAGTAGATTTAACTAGTTATTCTGCTATATATGCATTCATTGTGAATTTTATAACCTTGCACTGCTCCCTCCTGAATGTTCTTTTTCTTAATTTGAAGACTAATTCTATCTTTTAAAAGCTTTTTATTACCTCCTTAATTGGTGTATCCCATAAGTTTAAGAAGCATGCCTTCTAATTTAAACAAGTATTTTATAATATTAGTTCATTCTTTTAGTATATGTTTCTTCCAAATTACCTTTAACAATGTGTGAAAAATAACAATATTTGAAAAAAATTCTTTGTGTTACTGGATAGGTCTACATGAATATTCTAAAAAACAGTAATTTTGTGATTCTTTCAATGTCGAACAGGCTGAAAGCAAACTGGCAGAGTAGGACCCATTCAGAAGATGAGGCTGATGGGAGGATGGAAGACAGAGTCAATTAATGATGGCTTGGTCTAACAGTAGTGAAAGCCCAAAAGAGAAGTTAGTTGACAGAGATCACATATGTGAGATGAAGAGGCAAAATCAACTGGCAAAGTTGGAGAGAACCTTTTGCACCATACTAGCTCTTTGAGACATGCTGCCACCACCTGGGCAATAAGAAATTCTAAAGTATGGAAAAATTTTGGTTGTGATAATCAGTTAATTAACAATTACAAAATCAAAAAATATACTTTTATTTTATGAAATCAGCTTTTGACAAGTCTTTGGATATTAAGGAAGAGCAGGGATTTTGGCAAGATGTGTTTAGAATCCTGCTCTACTTTTCAAGTCTCTGATTCCTTATCTGTTAAATGGGTATAAGAGCATTATCATTTGGGGTTGTTTAGTCTCAGGATTAGTAATAATAGATCTGAAGCATCTAGCCCAGTACCTGGTACACAGTAAGTACTCAATAAATAGCTTTTAAGAAATTATTATTCTTCAGTATGCTCTTGCAAATACTGCTAAGTCCTGATTATTACTTTTTAAATCAATAATTGTGCCCTTTAAGAAATGTATTTTCAGGGCGCCTGGGTGGCTCAGTCAGTTAACTACCTGATTTCGGCTCAGGTTGTGATCTTGGGGTCCTGGGGTAGAGTCCCATGTCTAGCTCCTTGCTCAGCGGGGAGGATGCTTATCCCTCTCCCACTACCCCTCCCCCCCACTCACGTGTGTGTGTGTGTGTACACGCACGCGTGCTCTCTCTCACATAAATAAATAAAATCTTAAAAAAAGAGAAATGTATTTTCATTATGTTTCAATGAAAGGAAAAAACTAACAATAAAATTCAGGGAAGAAACCAATTTCATCAAATTAAGTCAAATATGTGGCAGGTAGGAAAGTTCTCAAGATCTTTAGTCAAGTCTAGGTTTTTATAATAGAATCTTATTCAGGTTTTACTCATTCATGATGTTTTTTTTCATTCACAATTTTGACATGAGTCAAGGGGAAATGCAACTTTGTACTATCAAGAGAAAAAGACTTTTTAAGCAAACAACAGAGTAGGACTTAACTTCTTAAGAGAAAAAAACAGCTAAAATTTTATAATGTTCTTTTTTTCAAGATAACTAGTGTGAATGGGACGAGAAGTGTGATACACTACACAGGAATTACGCAAAGACAAACCCTCCTTAACAGTGTAAGGCTTTGTTAATTTGGTTAAAGTTACAGGAATAAGATTTCTTAAAAATAAATACAAGCAGAGCTTATTTGTTATTCTAAGTTGGCAATTCTTAAAGACATTTGTGAAAGAACAAAAATCCAATTAAGGATCTTTTCAAATAAAGGATAAGACCTTAAGAAAATTGTCTATGTTTCCACTAAATTCCTTGTTCTGCTGCCACTTATGAAGCCTAAGCTAGAAAAATGGCCAAGCCCAGTCCAACTGACATAATTTTAAAGCTGAAAGAACACCAGAGATGACCTAGTGTACGTTCCACATAAAGAAGAGGAAACAGGCTCAGAGTGACTTACAGTGTATACAGATCAGCAGAGACAAGGCCTGTGAAACTCAACTCACAAGCTAAGACTCCTCACTACAGAAAATAGTGCACAGTATTTGAACCAATTTTGACACCATCTTTCATGAAGGCAATGCAGGTTGCATTAAGGGGCTCAGCTGTGGCAACCCCTATGCTATTCCTGGGCTTGCATCCTGTCCTGGAACTGAAAACTAGGTCAGTATTAGGCTGTGAAGGCAGGGTCTAGATGACAGCCAAAGAGCTACAGAGGCTTCTGTCTTAGGCACCTTTTCTTGTAGCCCAAGACTGCAATGCATTTAACTAGAGAAGCAGCAGAGCAAACTACTGGGAAGGCAGTAACTGGGTATACTGTGTATCCAAGATGCAAACAAAACCACACACCTTGGCCTGGGGAGTGAAGGATGTTAAAATACATTCTGACCCCCTCCTAGAATTAATATTTGAACAAGTTTTCAGAGATCACATAGTTACCTATAGCAAGTAAAGTTTTCTGTACACACAATCCAGTGACTGAGTCTGCTTTTTCTGGCTACTACAGGTACAGGCTAGGTCCAAGCAGCAAAAGCTTTGAAACCATCATCCAAGTTTTCAAACAAGAATGAGTAAGAAAACAACTGCTGCTAATACAACATACAAACATTAACATATGCCCAACGAACAGTATTTTAGATCACTAGATTATTTGCCAAAAGCCTGTTCCCTGGTAAATAATAGTTACTGTTGTTATATCTAAACTAGTTATGCATGTCACAGCTTGCTCCTCAAAGAGAGCATTCTATAGTCTCTCAAGAATAAACACCTGCTTTATTTGACACACAAAAGTGAAGAGGTCTTGCAACATTCGCAGTGGTAGTCAAACAGAGCAGTTCAGAGCAAGCAATCACAAAATTTGGTCACCAACCAAACCAGAGTTAATCTCTCAGTTCCTGTAGATTAGAACACAATATTAAACTCACTCTTTCTGCTTGTTGACTTTTGCATCCCTTTATTTGTGGACTGAAAGAACAAGTTATCTCTGTGGGAACTCTATGCCCAGTTTATTTACCGAGTTTACTTTGGGCAAGTATGGTTCATTTTGTGTGGGGGGGTGTGTGTGAAATGAGTTAGGTTCTCAAACTAAAAACAAACAACAAAAATCCCCTCTTCACACAGCATGGTTGCATTTTCCCTTAGTAATAAGGTTCAGTGGATCCACCATGGTCCATTTGCTTCATTGTCTCCAGTACGTGTGGCTTTAACTACTGTCCAGCCAGAAGATGAGAGGGGCAAAGGGTGGGGTGGGAACCGGGAGAAGGAACGCTCCAGAATCCCTCAACAGTCGCTGTGTGACCCTCACCTTGACTTCGGGCGGTTTGTGGAGACCAACTCCTTTCTTGCCGCCGCTCTTTAGTCTGTTTCCAGGGGCTACATACATCACCCATCGGGGCCCTCCATCAACGGTCTCGCTCCAGCAGGGCAGGGGGGCTGTCTCCTGGCTTACATCGGGGGTAAAGGCAGAGGGCCCGCAGGGTTCCGGACCGGCTCCCGGAGACCTGAGTCCACCCGCGCCTCCACGCTGGCCCCTTCGTCCCGGCAGGAAGCGCCGGTTTCGGGCTCCTCGCCAGAGGCCAGCCGGGGCGCCGCCGCACACGGGCGCGGCCTCACCTGCGGCTCCCCAGGAAGCCGGGCGCCGCTCTCCCCCGCCCTCCCCGTCCCCGCCAGTCTTCGAAGTCGAGATCCCGGGACCCACACAGCAATGGCGCAGCCGGAAACTGGCCCCTCGACTTCCTCAGGCCCACTCGGGGCTGGGGCCGGCCTGTGGGCGGGACGGGAAAGCCGCGGCTTCCGCCTTCCTGCTTCCGGCCTGGAGGTGAGTTGGGAGTAGGGGTCCGAGCCCACGTTCCCGGCCGTGACGTAGGGTGGGCTGGTGGCGGCCGCTGGGGTGGGTCTGCCCGCGTGCCCAGAGGAGGCGGCCACGGCGCCGGGCGGATCGAGCTGTGGCGGGATCAAGCCTGGATTCCCGGGAACCGCCCGCCGAGGCCGAGGGGCGCCTGAACGTGGCCCCCTGGGGCGGACGGCCGGATGGGATAGGAAAGCAGGAATGAGCAAGGGCGAAAACAGGGATGGACGGGACGTGCTGATGGCGGTGAAGTACCATCCGCTGCAGCTCCAGGAGCCGCGCAGGTCTGGTTTGGAGATCAAGCCCGGTCGACCCGTTACGGAAAGAAGAAGGGTAATACGGATTCCTCCAAGTGTGGAGACACGGGCCTTTGGGTCCGAAATTGAAGTGCACGGGAGCTGTGTGGCCTGTGGACAATAACTTTTTTGCGTTAATGAAAAACTCAGCCACAAACCGGATCCTTCGCTTCCGCGTTACTCTTTTTTGCAAAGTTTTTTTCGCTTATCACTGAATTTTGCCTTAGTTAATTCATTACCGTGCTGGAGAAGCTGAAGGGACAGATGGGATCTCTGTGTGGTCCTAAGAATTCAAGGTCAGGGGGCGGAGGCTAGACTGATAATATACTACTAGAGGCGCTTTAACTAATGTTTTCTGTTGAAAATATGAAGAGGCCGGTGGAAGGATATTAAAGCCAGTGGTAGTTTCCTTGAAGTGATGGGATTGTGGGTGATTTATATTTTGTTTTGGTTTTCTGTAAAGAACACGAATTGTATCATAGGGAGACCAAAAAACCTTTAAAGAATAAAGTGAGATGTTTGATTTTGTAATTACATACCTAACCCTATAAATTAATATTTTTAGCATTAAAAGCTCAAAACCTAGGAATGGATGTGCTGTAACTTATCAGTGAACTAATTTGTCTTTTTATATATCCGTGAGCTTCATAATTTTATTTTGGAAGTAATTTAGTAAAATACTTGTAATTACTCCAGTAGGATTTTCTTAGCATTTGCAATTGTAGTAATGATTTCTTTCTTCAAATTAGGAAGAGATAGATATTAAATGTCTATAATATGCCAGGCAGTTTTACAGGTTGCATATATACGATTTCGAAATAGTCCATTTGAAAGTGTCTTAAAGTTATCCTGAATGTTGTGACTTAAACTTTTTTTTTTTTTATCTGTTCTTTTCAACCCACCCAGTATATAAAATTTAAACCTTCTCTCACAAGTGTATGGTAGAGCTAAAGAAGAAGACAAACAAGTAAGGGTCATCTGAAATTGTAATTGGCTCACTAATAATCCCAGGACTAAGTTGGAAAGAAGTACTCAAGCATAAGGTAGATGACTTTTTAAATTCCCGCTGAAATTGTGGATGTATGTACACCCGTTCCTACCCAAGTATTCTTAATTTTCACCTTTGAATAGAGGTTGACACAAACACTGAAAGGTTGAAAAGCCTCTGGGCAAAACAGAAAATGTCACTCAGATCCACACCATTCTTATTTACCAGATTGCCCTCCCATACCAACTCAAAGTGGAACAAAATGCATGGCACCTGTTATGGGTAATTTTCTCATTTATTAAATTATGTCCTCAAATAGGAGTCTTCAGAGCTGAAAGAGGGCATAAAATAGCATGTCACTTTTTTGCTTATATTTCTTTGCATATGAATATGGATATTTCATGCTTCCCATACTCTCTCCTTTTCATTCCTGGAAACAGCTCTCCATTACCTTCCTTTCTCCAAGCATTTCATGTACTCTGTGGCTTGTCCTTTTCAAACACCAAATTTGATGAATCATACTTTTGTTAATTGTACTTAATACTAAGGATGTGTCAAAAAATAACAGGATTCCTCTGTTTCCTGGAAAGAGTGCTTAAGACTCGAGATTCTTATAAAAATGTCTGCTGCTAAATAAAATTTGTCTTGATTACGAAGAATGCATAGTCCCTATGACAGATTCCACATGGTTTTTAATCTTCTATACCTTTACATCTTTTAAGTGTTACCTAGTTTAATTATTTCTTCTTAACTGGAGATAGCAGTCTGTATTAAAATAGTACTAATTGATGCTTTTTAAAAATAAAAAACTAATGATAACAGAATTCTGAGTTAACTGATTGTATGATGTAACTTTTAAAAAAATTTGATTAACCACATAGTCTTTTCTTTTGTTGCCCCTCTCTTCTCTTTTCCAAAGACGACTACAAAGATGTTTGATATAAAGGCTTGGGCTGAGTATGTTGTGGAATGGGCTGCAAAGGACCCATATGGCTTCCTTACAACAGTTATCCTGGCCCTTACTCCATTGTTTCTAGCAAGTGCAGTACTGTCCTGGAAATTGGCCAAGATGATTGAGGCCAGGGAAAAGGAGCAAAAGAAGAAACAAAAACGTCAAGAAAATATTGCAAAAGCTAAACGACTAAAAAAGGATTGAAGGAATGAATGAACAGGCTATATAACCAGAGGAACATCATTTGGAAAATTATTCAGTGTTGAAAGGACCCACTAAGGTTTCTTTTCTGGTTTTTGTGTCAGTAATTTGTTGTAAACAAAGTCAGAGCACCTGTAAGAATCATGTTAGTTGTGACCTCTACTGCAGCAACTTTTAGGTTTTGGTGTAGAAGTCTATTGAGAGTTAACTGTAAATTGGCTTTTATTATGCTATAAATTCTTTATAATTGACTTAGTCATTTGCCATTTTGCAGATTGTGTTCTGAAATGAAACATCCTGTGGAGAAAAATGACTGTACATTATGAACTCTATTCAAATAATGGCTTAGAATGGGGTCCTGTTCTGGACGAAGGGAATTGAGAATGTAAAAATCAAAACTGTCCAATGGTGAAAACTGTGCTTTGGCTTAAAGAGGCATATAGTATATTATTTACATCTTCTATCATTATTGCTTATTTCTTGGCATAGAATCATTTCTGGCTTTCTCAAAGCCACATATTAACCAATGACTGTGTTCTGCATTTTTCTCATTTTAGTCTTTGAGATAATTAACAGACATTCTATATTTTTTAAAATCTCATTTTATAAGAATTCTCTTACTGGCTATGTAGAATACCACCTACCAGATAGAACAGTTTTTGTACTTATGAACCTGCCATTTTCTTAGAGATGTCTTGAGTAGAATAACACTATGATCTAAAGCTTGCAGTAAAAATGCCAAACCTTGTGGTACTTTGGAACCAGTGTATTCTTTATTGTGCTATGTAGAAATGTAAAGTAGTTAAAATGTCTTATCACATAATTTGCTCATTACATAGATGCCACTTTTGTGTTTTTATTCATTTCTTCATTTTAATTTATCTAGTAGTGATGTTCTGTACTTTCTGATCAAACAGGTTCATGTGAAAATTAAAACTTCATACTTCTCTTAAAGAATTCTTAAAAAGTAATAGTTAAGTGGTATTTCATAAGTGGTAAAGGGTTAACATTTGGAAAAATTTTGTTCATCATACTAGTAATTGGGTGAAAAAGACAAACTATGTCAAAATGAGGATGTGTTAAAATTAGAAATAAAGAGCTAAAGGATATTTCCTTCAGCTAAGTAGTAACTGGAATTTTTTACTGTTAAACATGGCTTTTATAAATGCGTAGTCTAATAATTTTATTCACTGTCAGTATATAATAGCTTATTAACGTTTTCCTCACCTCTGATAATGAATTTTAAATTACAAAAAATTGTCCACCAGCTTTAATTTAAAAATGAAACTAGATATTGAAATAAATTTGATACTTTTTTATAAAGAGGTCCGGGGTTTTTTTTTTTTTTAAAGGGGGGTTAATAATAAGGTAATTAAAGTTAGATGTGTTACAGAAGTTAGACTTTTAAGAGGGTTTTGAGTTTCATTTCTAGCTAAAAGCCTACTTACAAAAGTTAAGGGCAATGTTTCTCAACTATGAAAACATAAGGACTCCTGAGAATGCTTATGGATTGGTCTAAACACTAGTACTTTCACTTTAGGTTGTCAGTTTCTACTTGGTGCCAGTGGAATGAACATATTGCAACTCCAGGCACTAAGATAATTCAGTGTTCCGTTCCGTTACTTAAGCGATCTAGGATATCTAGTGATCTTTTTATTGTCACTGAACGTTTTAATAGTTGAAATTATCATTGGAATTAAAACTTAAAAATATGCTTCTATGGATCTACTGGCCCTCCTGGGCCCGCAGAGCACAGTTTAAGAAAAATGAGGTTAAGATATATCTAAAATGTATTTGGGTTTCTGCAGTCAAGCTGTTCGTGACAGGAATTTATATCCATAAATCTTGCTTATGGCCACATTTTAGAGTCAAATATTGAAGCAAAAGGTATATTCACCATAATTCTCAGTTATTTACTAAAAGCTGTGTTTTCATTGGTTCTCTTGTTACAATTTAAAGATAGTTATTTAACTGAAATCTGTTTTTCTATCATTTCTTTTAAAGTCTAACACATGCCAGTTTTGTATTTGACATATGCCATTTGTTGTTCCTTCAGCTTTAGCTTTTTCCAACATTTATGAAGCCTTTTTATATATGCGAGATCAATAGGTTTTATAATATGTATGTCTGTATACTTATGTGTATGTGGGGGTGGGGGGATGTAAAATAGAGAGTATTGTGAGGGTTGGGATTCTTCAGAAAAATCAGAATCTCATTTACTATTAGCTATAATACTTTTTTTTTTTTTAAGATTTTATTTATTTATTTGACAGAGAGAGACACAGCAAGAGAGGGAACACAAGCAGGGGGAGTGGGAGAGAGAGAAGCAAGCTTCCGGCCGAACAGGGAGCCTGATGCAGGGCTCGATCCCAGGACCCCGGGATCATGACCTGAGCGGAAGGCTAGACGCTTAACGACTGAGTCACCCAGGCGCCCCTAGCTATAATACTTTTAAAAATTGCCTTTTATGTAGTTTCTGAAGTTTTGAGAACTAATATAATCAGTTACCTTTTTATGGCTGGTTTTGGAAAAAACACAGGCTGTCTATAACAGACATTTTACCCAAAAAGAAAAAAAAAAGTTTGTGTGTCAGAATTTGATCCATACTATCCATGTGATAAACTTCAGCATGGTATTACTGTATGAGATACACTTTTTAGTATAGCATTTTTTACTTTTATTTCTTGAAATTATAGTAAGCAAGCAAAGTAAGCTTACCATGCTGTGAGCTGGAAAACCAGTGTTGAGATAAATTATAATTAGCAGGTCCTGACCCATTCCTTTTCTCCTTGTACATAATGTAAAGGGGCAAGGGGCACTTACACCTCATCTGGTATTATGTTAGAGGAAGTCTGATTCCTATTCATGATTGTTTTTATGTTTGCAATTGGTTATAGCATCACTCTGATTTACTTCATATTTGGAATATATACATGTATATATACATGTAACCTCTGGTAACCCTCAAACATATTAAAACAGATTCCATGTTCAAATACCACAAGTTTGGAAAATATAAAATAGAACTTAGGATTTATTCCTAAGAGATTTCTTGAAGTCTTTTAACATAATTTGACTATCATAGACTCTTCTCGCTTCTGTTTTTTTCCCTAAGGAACACAAACACAGTTTGAGAAAGCCTGTTCTATATAAATCCAGGTTACATTTTATTTTATTTTTGTGTTTTATTTTTTGTTTGGTGAGATCAGGTTACATTTTAAATAGTAAGGTTAAAGATAGCATTGAAAAGATAACATTAAAAAATATAATGGTATTGGTTCAAGGCTGATTAAATTAAGAAATGAAATAAGTGACAGCCAGAAATCAGTTCATAAAAGTAGAAATGGAAAAGAGTAATATAATAATGGGAAAATTTTTTTCCTCCATTTTTGTTGATTTCAACTTCACATATCCAAGCCATAGCTAATAGGCTAGATTTGTATGATTAAACCCATCAGCCAACAAATTTTCTGTACTTGAGCGGTCAGAAATCTGCTACATGCACATATAGCACAGGCATGGGAAATCAAGAACAATTTACCTCTGAGAAAGTATGTAAGGTATATACAACACTTTCATTACTTTGAAATGAACATTTTTACTTTTGGAATTAAAAAATTTTGCTTAGGTCTGAAGTCTTGAAGAAAGATATTTTCACTTACTTTAAGGCATTTTCACAAAAAAAAACTTGTAAATGTCCAAAATATAACCATTTAAAATATGACATATGGTGGACAAACTAATACTTTATTTAATGCTTTAATTGTGCTTTGCATGTGTCTGGAATAAAAGCCAAATATAAAAAAGGTTGCTTATAAAGGTAATTTGAATTAGGCCAAAGTTATAATTCAATTTTTAGGTAGGACATTTAACTCTGTTTTGATACCATCTAACAGCACCACTAAAAAATATTAGTCTTGAGAAAAGGAGTGTGGATGGATTACTATAAATGTCATTTCCACTTCTTGAAATCACTGTAATACTGCATGCTCGAGGGGTATCTGGTTGGTTCAGTCAGTAGAGTGTGCGACTCTTGATATTGGGGTTGTAAGTTTGAGCCCCACATTGGATGTAGAGATTATTTAAAAATAAAATCTTTTTTTAAAAAAAGTGCGTGTTCTACTAATAATGGTGGGCCAGTATCATAATCTTACTTGAGGTATTTTTCCACAAGGACTTTTGGTTAAGATTTTCTTTTGCTACTTCTGTAAAACAGGTATTTTAATTTAATTTATTTTACTTTATTTTTTTATGCCTCACCTACTTAGTATTTATTATCTTTAGGTTTTTATTTAAATTCCAGTTAGTTAAAATACAGTGTAACATTAGTTTCAGGTGTACACTTTAGTGATTTAACACTTCTATACATCACCCCAGTGCTCATCACAAGTGCCCTACTTAATCCCCATCACCTATTTCACCCATCCTCCCACCCTCTGGTAACCCTCAGTTTGTTCTTTATAGTTAATAAAACAATGATATTAAAATGAAAACAAAAATTAAAATGAATGTAAATTCTGTCATACATTAAGATATTTACAGACTGTAAGGCAAACATTAAAAGATATGTATAGAATATATTTATTTATTTATTTTTTAAAGATTTTATTTATTTGACAGAGAGAGACACAGCCAGAGAGGGAACACAAGCAGGGGGAGTGGGAGAGGGAGAAGCAGGCTTCCTGCTGAGCAGGGAGCCCGATGTGGGGCTCGATCCCAGGACCCTGGGACCATGACCTGAGCCGAAGGCAGATGCTTAACGACTGAGCCACCCAGGCGCCCTATAGAATACATTTAATAAGCTAATAGGTATTTGGCAGTAGAAATATTCTAGCATGTTAGAACATTTGCAATTTTTCTTATAACCCAGGACTCAAGAACATCTTAATTTACAGTCATTTGTACCTCTGTACTGCCTGGTGACTAGTTCCTTTTTTAAACTGATAAGAACAGATACTACACTTGATCTTAGCCAAAAGGCCAAGAAGCAATGATTAGTTCCTTTTTTGCCTGCATGGTAAAATGTAATACTATTTTGTAATGATAGAATGGTTAAACTCATATTAGCAGGTTGCTGGAATGGCAGTATTTTCACCAAGGGGCTTTTCTGTCATTCAATAAGTATGTAATGGTAATTACATTTGATTATTTGTTTTAATATTATATTTTATAAGGTTGTATTTTTCTGTAATTTATTAAGCAATTAAAATTTTTACCTTCTATTAAGTAAAAATGTTAACCTATGTGTTTTTAGGAATTCATTGTTAAAACAGGTAACCAAGGATTTCCTATACAGCATTAAAATTTGAATCACTTATGCAGTAAATATTTATTGAGCACCTATTATAATGCCATACACTGTGAGAAGTCTATATTAGCAACAAAAACATAGTTGTGCACTTCAGAAAATTTATGACCCTTCAAAAATACTTTTGTATAATATGAGTGTTTTAACATCACCCGTCTGTATTTTTCATCAATATACAAGCCCCTGGAATCCCCACTGTCAGTGCAGTCACAGAGAACTCTCTATTTTTCATTTTTTCAAAGTAATTTTTTTTGTTCTTTTCTTTTTTGAGGGGTGGAGTGGAGACGGGGAGAGAGAGAGGGAGAGAGAGAATCCCAAGCAGGCTCCACTCTCACAACCCTGAGATCATGACCTGAGCCACCCAGGCGCCCCTCTCAAAATAATTTTTAATCTTAGAAACTCCAATTATTGTACCATTTCTCTGTTTACTGTCCTTTCAGACTTTTGTGATGGATTGTCTATGTCTTTTGGTTCTAATTCCTCTCTTCAAACTCCAGGTCTTCATGGCTTTTTTTCACTTATCAACTACATTTTCTTGGCCTCCACATGTTTTATCCAAGTACATGTTTTTGATTAGTCCTTTAGAATCTTACAGACTGCCTCTCCAGAAACAGCAGTCTTCTCACTTTTTTCTTTTTTTATTGGGTACTTTAGGAGAGCTCACTAATTACCCTTACCTTCTATCATGATAAACATTGGGGTTCCTAAATGATCATAAGGATCCAAAATGTACTGAGAATTTACAACTACCGAATACTTCACAAAGGAGCAATCCTAAGAGGGAAAACCTAAGCAAATTCATAAACAGAATGACGACTAAAGCAAATGAAGGAGTTAAACCTAAAAAGTTAGGTTTTGGGGTGCCTGGCTGGCTCAGTTGGTACAGCATGCGACTCTTGATCTCGGGGTTGTAGGTTCGAGCCCCACGTTGGGTGTAGAGATTACTTAAAAATCTTTTTTTTTTTTAAGATTTTATTTATTTGAGAGAGTGAGCAAGAGAGAGAAGAGGCAGGGGGCGAGGCAGACGGAGAGGGAGAAGCAGACTCCCCGCCTAGCAGGGAGTCCCACATGGGGCTTGATCCTGGGACTCTGAGGTCATGACTCGAGCCAAAGGCAGACTCTTAACCAACTGAACCACCTAGATGCCCCTAGATTACTTAAAAATCTTAAAAAAAAAAAAAAAAAGTTTCTATAGTTCATAACCTCACATTTCTTAAGGCATACTAAAAATAAATTCTTAAGCTTAATGGAACAGAGAACTACTTACTGTACAGTCAGAAAATAAAGTAATTTTTACTTCTTTTAATTGTTAAAGTTACATCCAAATGAAATACTACCACAGTGTATTCATTGATTGGGGTTCTTGCCCCCTTGTGGCATCCAGGATCCTGGTTGAAAGGTTTTACCAGTGCTGGTGGGAGCCACGGTGGGTTCTTCCTTTCCAAAGTATGGAGCAGAGGCATGCCCTTTGATCTGAGTTTGAACTGGTGGAGCCAAGAGTTCTTCATTGCTCCCTTTGCTAAGGAGCTTTTCTTTTCCATAAAGATCTTGATTTTTTATTTTAGTTTCTTCTCTATTTTTTTCATTCTTTAGTATTTCCTGCATGTATATATGAATGGAAGAAATTATTAAATTTCTAGTTAGAAGAAAACCCAAACTATAGGTTTTATGAAAGTAAAATAGCTAATAAATATATATACATGATACTTGCTTTGCATTTAAATAATATACAGATACGCACAGGACAAGTTTTACAATTTTTTTAATTAATATTTTATTATTTATTTGACAGAGGGAGAGAGCACAAGTAGGGGGAGTGGCAGAGGGAGAAGTAGGTTTCCCACTGAGCAGGGAACCAGAGGCGGGGCTTGATTGCAGGCCCTGGGGATCATGACCTGAACCAACTGAGCCACCCAGGCACCCGTCAGATAGCTTTTTTAAACTTGTCTTGTGGGGCGCCTGAGGGGCTCAGTCAGTGAAGTGTCTGCCTTCTGCCTAGGTCATGATCTCTGTGTCCTGGGATTGAACCCTGCATTGGGCTCTCCTGCTGTGGGGAAGCCTGCTTCTTCCCTCTCCCTCTGCCCCTCTTCCCTGCTTGTGCTCTTTCTCTCTTTCAAATAAATACAATCTTAAAAAAAACCCAGCTATCTGATAATATACCATTATTATTTGAATTAAACAATTCTGCCATCGTATACTGTAATAAGACATGAAAGACTACAAAATAAAAACATTTACAATTTACCCAAGAGGTAAAACAAACTACTTGACATCAAATATCACACAAGAGCATAAGTTACTCTACCAAAGATTTCCTAGGATTCACAGCTATTTTCTGGCTCAAAAGTAATCATCAGTGATTGTACTGGAGATGAAGTGAAGGGGAGATGGCCTCAGAAAGCTGCTCCTACCAGTCTAATTTTCTGTGGGAATTAAAGCATGGATGCTGCTACCACCCCCCATAGCACCAGAACCAAGTCCCATCTCTGTCCCTTTCTCTTCTGGAGTGGTGGGTGTGGCGGTAAGGAGGAGGACAGGGATGGAATCAGAGTTCAGCATGCCCTAGGCACCAGTGGCAGAGAGGCACTTTGCTGTTGGAAATGCTTCTTAAATCAGCACAAGCTATTTGTGCAATACAGTTCTGTCCCTCAAAATTGCTACTCTACCCATAAAGATCTATAGCCAAAATTTCATTGGATACAATGGAAACATCGAATTTAAGATTTAAGAAGCATCACTGTTGGGGCACCTGAGTGGCTTAGTCGGCTAAGTGTCTGCCTTCAGCTCAGGTCATCTCAGGGTCCTGGGATCAAGCCCCTCATAGGGCTCCCTGCTCGGCAAGGAGCCTGCTTCTCCCTCTCTGGCTCCCCCTGCTTGTGCGCTCTCGCTCTCTTCCCCACCCCCTCTCTGTCAAATAAATAAATATTTTTAAAAAGAAGCATCACTATTACACATACTACTAAAAAAAGGCACCAACTCCACACATCCTCATTTCAGAGATGTTAAAATTTGAAAAGATGTGCATCTTAAAAACAGATGAAATGTAGTTATTACATCTTTTATCTTTATTGATTCCTTCTTCCTTTTGTCTTAACAATTACTTTTGAATGGGGAGTATTTTTAAATGTTCTTTTCGCTTACCTGTATTTTTAAATTTTTCCTTAACATATATATCATTTATAATATGAAAAACATTGAATGTTAATGTAACTAGTATCTGACAACACTGACAAAAACAAGTTCTTCCAAGTTATGTGTTTTAATGTCAACATTTTAAAAAATGACACTTAAAAGCAACATCTGGGTATCTAAATGTATGATGCCACCTTTCTGTTTCTAAAGTGAATTTCAAGTAGTAATAGTCCTTTAAAAAGGTAAACACTGATAATTAAAATCACATTTGAAATAATGGTTTCTACTTAAAGGAAAAAAGAGGTTTTTTGGGGGGTATAGTGTTATAGAATTAGTTTTAGGCACAAAGGGCCCATCTAATGAAACTTCTCCTTCAAAGCAAACATGCTTGGGAAAGAATATTTATAAATATTCATGTAATTTCTACAACACAGACCAATTCCCCATGAATAGTTTAATAACCACAGTAACTGAGTTTAGGGGCAGCTCTTAGGAGTGAGGGGGGTGAGAGTAGTGAGGCTCTTATGCACCCTGTAGAACTGTCAGGTGAAGTGACCATGTATCATAAAGGAAATCTCTCTCAATATGATACTGGAAATAGTGGAATTTAGAAAAAATACTTCTTCATATCTCCATACTCTTCAATACCTTCTATGACCTGCTGTGTCTTCATGGAAGCTCTTGAGCAGAATGAAAGCTACAGGACAGGGTTGAACTTAAACTAGTAACCCACCACAGGTAGCAAAACGCTACTGAGAAGCTGGTCTGCAGCTTGTTTGGTTCTGGTGTAAGAGGATCAGTCACGTCACATCACCTGAAGCTGCCCACACCTGCTTTATTTACCTCAGCTCTACTGTTGCAGTCTTACAGCTGGTGTAAGCCTGTAGCTTCTGCATCAACAATTGAGGGCAGAGAGCTGTTCCTTTTCTGGTTCTGTCTTCACATAATTTCTCTTTACTCACCATCACTCTGCCAAATCAGTTTCTTTCTTACAATAGCCATTTAGGCAAATAAAAAACCCAATGTGAATATGTTAATTATTTTAACATATGAAGATAGATTAAAAATTTCAGCGTTGAGAAACATTGGAGATTATAATTTTTCCTAGAAAAGAATTTCCTTTTGTCTTTTTTTTTTTTTAATCTAATTGTTACCAGACCCCTCCTAATGGCCTCCAGGAAAATTAAACAGAACGGGAAAATTAAACAGAACATAAATCATGTATGAAAGGAAATCTAGTTTTGTAAATATTTGGAATAGATAAAATGAAAGTAGTTAGGTGGAAAAAATAGGAATCTGTGGACTTAAACAAATCATTTTGTAACAAAGCCTATTTTACAGTAGGATTTACCATAAAATAAGGATTTTTCCTTACATTTCCTTTGAACACCACCACCTTAAGTCTCAGTATGTTCATCAATAAAAACAGTATGTTTGTTTCAATGTGTAGAGGTAAACCAAGAGCAAGTGGGTCTTCATATAAATGTTTATATGTTTAAAACAAATACCCTTTTATATGCTGCTTTTTTCCCTGATAATATTCTTCAACATA